TCTCTCTCTCTCTCTCTCTCTCTCTCTCTCTCTATCTCTCTCTCTCTCTCTCTCTCTCTCTCTCTTTCTCTCTCTCTCTCTCTCTCTCTCTCTCGATTGCTCTTCTTCTCAATCTCATTCTCTCCCCTTAACTCTCACGTTTTCTTTCTATCTCAGTTTCTTCCTCTTTCCTCCTCACTCTTCCCTTCTAGTCAGGGAGCTACTCGGGCTGCAAGGTGGCTGCCTTGGTTTAGCTTTCTTTCTCTCTCATTTTTTTTTTTTGGATTAAAACAAGAGGAGATTTTTATTACTTTACTCCACACATGGGTACATAGCATGTACTACCCCTATATCCGCCCTTGTGGCTAGGGATTTCTAAGGCTTTCAGCCCATACCCCATGCTAACTACCAGCCACGCACCCTAGGTGCTCCCACCTACGCCCCCGGCATAGTGGCAAGGGGCGCCGCCCCGTGTGCCTCCTCACACTACGGGTGAGGGGCCTTGAGCGCCTCGCCCTCCCATAGGGCAAGCATTTGCCATATGGCTGGGCTGGCCGCAGCGGAAGCACACCCCTTTGGAGCAGGGTTCGTGGTAGCTTGCGGGTGGCATACCGTTGCCTTCCGTTTCACCATCTCGGGTAGGCATGCGATTACCACGAGTGTAGCCGGCGCGTGCACGCTTGAGAACCGCCACATCGGCAATCGGAGCTTGTATGAACTTGAGGTCGACACGCTCTTGGACTGGTATAGCTGAAAGCGATCGGCAGCCTAGAACCCCGCCTCGTCCGTCACCAAGAGGACTTCGAAGCGCTTGTTGATGAGCGTTTCGATTTCCGCGACGTTGACGAGGGCCCTTTCGATGTCGCCGTGCTGGAGCTTGAAATTGACGTGCTTCAGTTGTGCCTGGATAGAAGAAAAAACCTCCGCCTGATCGCGCACGCCTTTGCGCATGAAGGTGGTAGGTGCGGATGTGAGGTTGAGGGGTGGGAGAGAGGGTGCGGGTGCGATAATACGACGACGGGTAATGTTGTTGGGGGCCTCACCATCATCGTTCTCTGAGTCGTCGCTGTCGTCTTGGGCGGCAATCGGTGCAGGTAAGGGAGCGGGGAGAGGTGCGGTAGTGGTCTCGTTGACGCGAGCAGCCTTGTTTGCGCGAGGAGCGGTGACTTCTTTCTGATTTTCAATTTTTGCAGGTGCTGAAATGTAGTCGGAGGAAGTTGCGATTGTAACCGGGGCGTGCTGCTGTAACATCAAGAGCAGGGCCTGCATCTGCTGCGCAGTGAGGGACGCAAGGGGGTTGACTGGGGCAGCTTCTGCTGGGGTCGCTGCCTTCTGTCGCTTCTGCGAAGTGGGCCCCGGCTGACCAGCGTCGCCGTCTGCGTCGGCCGGAGTTGACTTGACCGGACCGTGCGGCTGCCTGGCAGCCACACACTCGTCAACAGGGGGCACGTTCGACTGTTTCACAGTCGCACGTGCTTCTTCAGAGGGGGCTCGGGAGTTGCTCCCGAGCAGCACTTAGACGCCTGAGGTGCCCTCGCTGAAATTATCTTCAGCAGGGCGTTTTCCGCGGCGGTCGGGTGCCCCGGGCGCGTTCACGTGCTCCGAAGCGTTACCCGGGGTAGTGGTCTTTTCTGCCTCTCGATGAAGTGTGATGTTGGCGGGAGCCATATTCGCCAGGTTGTGTTGAAGAATGTCGGTAAGAAGGGTCGACGGGGACTTGAACCGCGGGAGAGACTGCGTCGTCGCCAGGATGGACGAGAACTCAGAAAGTAAAACTAGAAATTGGAAATGAAGAACGTGGGTGGAGCTACTGGAATCACGTTCCTCTTTTGTTGGCAAAAGAGGGGTGAGTAGCGTCGAGCCGCTACTTGCTTTGCTGGCCACGTCCTCGCTTTCACAATACGAATTTTGAAATTGTGTCACACTTTTAAAAATTATGATATCATGCAGTTTCGTAAAAGCATAGTTTCGTAAAAGCATAGTTTAAGATGATTCCTGTACCAATGCGGCTGTGCGGTGGGGCGCTTGGGAAGATTTTCGTTTCCCACCCGAGATTGACGGTGTTGGTGCTACACGCCGCCAGGCTGGCGGAAATCCCTGTATTACCGGTTGCAGAGTGCACCCCCGATACAAGGCTGAGGGCTCAGAGTACACTCATGAAATTAGGCTGAAATTTCAGCCTAGCCATAAAAAATAACTCTGAAAAAACAGAGAAGGTACATAAAAAAATACTTGGAGTTTCGACTAGGTAAAAAAAAAAAAAAAGTCAGAATGGACTCTAAATCAGAGTAAAAAGTTTGATATCTAGGGCCCTGGTACTGATTGTATGTCTGCTTGTACAGCTGAACCATCGTTCAGCTCGTCGCCACCCAATGGTCAACCCTAGAAGTTAATGCTCTAGATCAAGGCTTATGTTATCAGGATAATTTATCCTGATTCTCCTGAATTCAGGATAGGTGTCGTGTGCTTCTCTTGGAAAAACAGCAAAAGGGAATTATTTGTCCTTTAAAATCAGTATAATGGTTATTTTGCGTCCTGAAAACTCAGGATAACTCTGTAGGTTCAGCCCTGACGACTCAGGATAGTGTCGAATCTCGCCCTGAAGCGAGATGTACTGCACAAAACATCTCCAGGGTTTCGGGCCTCAAAGAGGCACGAGCGAGCACCTTAAACATAGGAGCCAGCGGGAGTCGAGCACACGATCAACTGCGTAGCAGACTGCCACTTTTCCCGCTACACCCTCGTTCTCAGCACTCTCACCAGCGGAAGCACTGGCTACAGTGTTTGGACGTAGCGGGCTGGTGCGATAACTCAGTTGCGGGCGAAGTCGCACGAGGTGACGAGGCAAGCCTTGGGCATTAAAAAACCGTTAACGTTGAATAACCGTCTCAACCGTTTTGAAAGCAAGAGTACCATTTTATAAAGTTTGAAACCTTGATTGACCGCCTTGGGTGAAATTGTCACTATAACGCATGTGATAGGACCTTCTTTGGTCCGTTGCGGCTACACAAAGCGTCCCGGTCAGTATAACATATGCCAGTCTATCGAGAATGAGGGTTTGTACCAGACTTCACGGTAAGATAAATCGGAAAACAGACTTACCAGTAATTTGTTGTCTTGCGCCACTTCGCATTTGCCAGCCACTTTGGCCCACGATGTCCACCGCCACCTTCGCCATCTGCTTGCACTGTGCTGTAACAGTTTCGCACCATGCAGCTGCCAGCGACTTGCACTTCCAGCCACTTGCAGCTGCACCCCAGCATTACACACTTCGAATGTGGAGACATTTTCAGCATTTCGATCCCCGCTAACATAGCACGCGCGAAATACACAAAGTTGTACGAAATGTAGCACTGAGCTGCCAGGATACTGTCAAATGTAACACTGACATTTCAGGATACCTCACCCTGTGCAGCCCTGACAATTCAGGGCAAATTCTGATTTCCTAAAAAACGGCCCTGAGACCAGGGGCAGTTTTTCAAGGGTGATTTGCCCTGATTCCCCTTTCTGAAAGCCGTTTTTTTACGTTCACCCTGATTTTGTAAGGCCAGCTGTTTTGCAACCCTTTCCGAAAAAGTGTAGCAATTTTTACACCCTGTATTAGACAGGGTTGGTGTTTTGTTACACTTTCCAGTCAGTGCTGGTTGAAAAGTACCCTTTTACCGAATCCTTGTTCTGTAGTGTCTCGCGCAACTGTTCTCATAACAAGGCATTCCGCCCACTTACCACCTGTGCTGTCCAGGTGGACGGTTTTGTTTTTTCTTGCTGGCTTTCCCATTCGAACTGGCGGCAGCTTTGGCTGCTAGCACTTTGTTGTCTTGTTGCACTTGAACGTGCCTGCCTGCCTGTGGCTCCTCCTGCCTCATGCACGCCATCTGTGTTGCATTGTGAGGGACTTCGTATGCTTCTTGAAAGGCAGGTTTAATCGTCTCAGGTCATTCACCTCTGTTCCACACACACCTGTGACTCACATCAAGCGTAGAACTCAAGAACTCGAGACGAGGATGACGAAAGCGCGCTATTAGTCCAGAAGTTATAGTATGGCCATAACAGTGCACGCTACACCCTGAACAAGGTACTTTGGCAAATTTCTAGAAAGCACCCTTACACAATCAGTGTGCGAAAAAAATTACCCTTCTGTGGACAGGGTGGAGGGAAAACCATCCTGGCAGTCAGGGTGATGTCACCCTGGCACCCTGGTAGTTAAGGGTGTGCTAAAACCAAAAATAGCCCCTGCCTGAGACCTCAGTGTACCCCCAAACGAATCTGAGGGCCTGCTCTAGATCTCAATGTTCAACCTTACTAAGGTTGACCGCTGGGCTCTGAGAAGGTGCTCACAGAAGTTGGCGGGGTGTTGTGAGCGAGGGGTAATACACTTTCGCCCAGCCCCTCGCTACAATTTTAAAAGGGGGGCTTCGTGTTTGGTTTCTGAAGTCCCAAATTGCTAGGGCGTGGGCTCTCAAGTTTCCGAACCCCAGCCCATCAAGATTACTAAACATGCCCAGCGCGGTCCGCAATTTGGGCCTTGAGCTTTAAACAGAACGCGTTCCCAATTTCTATGGGATCATACGGTAGTACCAGTACAATAAGGTCATGTAGTTTCACTAGATTTTTGGAATATTAATCTTTATGGAAATCACAGTAAAGCTTCATTCATATAACGGAAAAAAACAATGGCGAGACATCTAGTACGGTATCCCCATGTGAACATGCCTAGTCGTCATGCAAAGGAGCAGTGTCTATGGCATTCCCAAATCAGCAATGAGGTCATCCACGTCCTCAATCCGCACCTGTCAAACAACAAATTGCATATACCGGTATAAAGTGACAAGAAAGAAATGCATTCAAACATGGAATGTCAACAAAGTACGGTACATAACAACAGTCCGTAAGTCGGGAGAGGGGTAAGGGGAAGGGGGAAGAGAGAGAGAGAGAGAGGGGAGAAACTAGAGGCACCCTTACAGAGACGTGAATGAGGTCTTCAACCAGGCCTCGCTCCTTGCGCACATGGGCTGGTATGCGACATGCAGCACGGCAGGCTGATGGACGTCGCCACACTGCGTGCAATCCCCCTCATGGAGTAGAGTCGCACACACAAACGCAATTGGCATGCAGAATTAGTCACAGTGTGGAACAGAATCCAGCAGTAGTTGTCATCCAAGACTGTCGTCACCAAGATGCACTCATACACCCAATGCACTCATGCACCCAATACACTCATGCACCCAATGCACTCATGCACCCAATGCACTCATGCACCCAATGCACTCAAGCACTGTAGCCAGTCACACCGCCGCAGCATCCATACCACCAATTGCAAAACACCAGATTTGGAATACCATTTTAGGAGCATCTACAGAGAATAGTAAGGATAGGAGGCAGCAAGACATGTGATGGTCGAATCCCACCCACAGACCGCTCTCACTCCACCCAACACCGCTCTCACTCCACCCAACACCACTCTCACTCCACCCAACACCGCTCTCACTCCACCCAACACCACTCTCACTCCACCCAACACCGCTCTCACTCCACCCAACACCACTCTCACTCCACCCAACACCGCTCTCACTCCACCCAACACTTTTCTCACTCCACCCAACACCGCTCTCACTCCACCCAACACCGCTCTCACTCCACCCAACACCGCTCTCACTCCACCCAACACCGCTCTCACTCCACCCAACACTGCTCTCACTCCACCCAACACCGCTCTCACTCCACCCAACACCGCTCTCACTCCACCCAACACCGCTCTCACTCCACCCAACACCGCTCTCACTCCTCCCAACACCGCTCTCACTCCACCCAACAACGCTCTCACTCCACCCAACACCGCTCTCACTCCACCCAACACCGCTCTCACTCCACCCAACACCGCTCTCACTCCACCCAACACTGCTCGCATGTCATCTTACCGAAGCTGACAGCAATGTTAGCAAGCTTCATTGTCTCAACAATGTGCTTCGACGCGTTGATGTTGCCTGTTGTGAAACTGAGCACTGATCCTGCACCCTTGGCCTGCCGGAGGTGGGTATAAGTAGTTCTTGGGAAAAACATGGATGGGGAAAGAACAATCGAGAATAGTTTAGAAAACAAAAAGAGACTGAATGAGAACAAATAGAAAATACCATTTGACAGTGGTGAAAAGAGTGAAAGTACAAAATTTAACCGGGGAGGCAAGTGAGTGAAAAGCTTGGAGGATGCAGGTGAAGCACCTGAAAGAGGAACTTAAGAGAGGCATCTGAAGGAGGAACATGAGAAGAATACCAAAAAGACATCAATGAGAAAAGCACCTGAAGAAGCACCTGAGTGCAGCACCTGGGAGAAGTTGACAGGTGCAGCACCTCCCATGTCGCATTTACCATGGGAGGACAGACCGGCATAGATCACTCTCTCTTCATGCGAGGTGGGGCGTTGCCAGAAACAAGCATGCAGTGTGTGTGTGAATCTATGGGTGGTGCGAATAACCATGGGTGTGGAACTGGGCATGGAGACAGAGGCTGGGAAGGCACCAGGGAGAAGTGCCAGTCAGGGTTGGCATGGGATGGAAGACAGGCAAAGAACACTCTACTCACAGTGGGGGGGTTGTAAGAGACAAACAAGCGCTGTGTGAGGGAGGGAATGGCCACGGGTGTGAGTGGGCTAGGGTGAGAAATGACCTGGGAAAAGTGGAGGTCACGGTTGGTATGGGATGGCAGGCCGGCATAGAAGACTCTTTCCACTCGCGGGTGACTGTCCAGGAACTCGGCTATTCTCTGTGCGTTTGCCAGCACACGAGCATCGGCATGCAAGGGCGAGAAGCAGCAGCAGCATCCAAGGGCGAGACGTTGGCTGTTGGATCATCAGCTGCAATAGCACCTAAAACACACGCACACGCACACACACACACACACACACAGACGCTCCCCATCCCACGCAGAAACACGTTTACCCGTACCTGCTGGCACTCGAGGCGCAGGGGCAGGGTCTTGATTCCGCGCAGGCACACCCAGCAGTCAAAGGGGCTGAGCCCCGACCCCTCTGCATTCTGCACAAAGTAAACCTGCTTCGCCAGGCTGGGCAAGCGAGTGAGAGATGAGGGAAAAGGAGGAAGGGAAGGGTTGGCAAGAGGGATAGGGGAGACCTCCAAAGGGGCTCAGCCCTGACCTCTCCGCGTTCTGCACAAAGTAAATCTCTTTCGCCAGGCTGGGCGAATGGGAGAGGAGGGACAAGGAGAAAGGGAAGGGACAGGGGAGTTGGCGATAGGGATAGGAGAGATTTCCAGAATGGCTCAGCCCTGAGCCTTTTGCATTCTGCACAAAGGAGATTTCTCGAGCCACGCTGGGAGGGGTGGGGGAACGAGAGGATGTGGGTGCGCGCACACATATACAAACCTCATCCCCTTCAGAGACACACTTGAGACACTCACTCACTCACTCTGGATCGTTCACAGCCGATATGCCTGCCATCACATCGCTGTGACCGCTGATGAACTTGGTGCCGCTGTGCATGACGATGTCAGCTCCCAGCTGCAACGGCTGTGACAGCATGGGCGACATGATGCTGTTGTCTACCAGCAGCAGCGCACCCACTGAGTAAGCAATCTCTGCTATGGCCTGGACGAAGGGAGAGAAGAGGGCGAGTTGGCATTGCGTTTAGCTGCAGCAGCTATGACAGCAGGAGAGGTATACACTGCAGCTGTTTGTAATAAGATTTTCGGAGACATTGCTTGATGCTGTATAAGGACTGCAGTGCAGTGCCGTGCTGTATAAGGACTGCAGTGCAGTGCCGTGCTGTATAAGGACTGCAGTGCAGTGCTGTGTGGTGCAGTATAGTGCAGTGCGGTGACTTGCGCTGATATTGCTCATCATCATGCGGGGGGTGGTGGAGCTAATCATAACAACCAGCAGATGATCGGTGGTACAGGGGCACAGTGTGGTACAGCGTAGAACAGCGCAGCCCAGTGCAGTCCAGTGCGGTATAGTGCAGTGCAGTACAATGCAATGCAGTGCTATGACTCACCCTGATATCTCTAACCATACTCACCCTGATATCTCTAATCATACTCACCCTGTTATCTCTGATCATACTCACCCTGTTATCTCTGATCATACTCACCCTGATATCGCTGATCATATTCACCCTGATATCCCTGATCATATTCACCCTGATATCGCTGATCATCATGCGGGGGTTGGTGGGGCTCTCCATGACGACCAGCTTCGTGTCTTCTCCCACCGCCACCCTCACTGCCTGCAAGTCCGTTGTGTCCACCCTCCTGGATAAAAGAAATAGAGACAGATGGTGGAGGGAGAGGGAGATGGGAAAGCGACAGATGGATGGTTGGTGGGGCTCTCCATGACGACCAGCTTCGTGTCGGACTGCACTGCCGCCCCCACTGCTTGCAGGTCCGTGTGTCCACTTGCCTGGTGGGAAGGAACAGAGGGACGGTGAGGAATGGGAAAAGGAAGGAGAGGGGCTTTCCATGAGCGGCTTTCCATGAGGGGCTTTCCATGAGCACCAGCTGGGTGACTGCCTGCACTGCCACCCTCACTGCTTCCAAGCCCGCCGTACCCACTCGCCCTCACTGCTTGCCCTCACTGCTTGCCCTCACTGCTTGCCCTCACTGCTTGCCCTCACTGCTTGCCCTCACTGCTTGCCCTCACTGCTTGCCCTCACTGCTTGCCCTCACTGCTTGTGTCCACTCGCCTGGGGGGAAAGAGGGGGGGAGGGAGGGATGAAGAGGGGTTGGTGGGGCTCACTCCAACGACCAGCTTGGTGTCAGGTTGTACTGCCGCCCCCACTGCTTGCAGGTCCGCTATGTTCACTCGCCTGGGGGGAAAGATGGAGGGAGGGAGGGATGAAGAGGGGTTGGTGGGGCTTTTTGTAAGCACTGGCTTGGTGTCGCACTGGCTTGGTGTCGCACTGGCTTGGTGTCGCACTGGCTTGGTGTCGCACTGGCTTGGTGTCGCACTGGCTTGGTGTCGCACTGGCTTGGTGTCGCACTGGCTTGGTGTCGCACTGGCTTGGTGTCGCACTGCAATGCGACCCTCACGGCTTGCAGGTCTGCTGTGTGTACCCGCCTAGTGGGGGAAGAGAGGGAGAGGAAGAGGGAGAGGGAGAGGTAGAGGGAGAGAGAGAGGGAGAGGGAGAGAAAGAGGGAGAGGGTGGGAGAGGAAGGGGGAGAGGGAGAGGGTGGGAGAGGAAGGGGGAGAGGGAGGGTGAGAGACGGAGAAGGGGGAGAGGGAAGAGAGGGTTTTTTGAATGAGCACCAGCTTGGAGGCGGGCTGCACTGCCGCCCTCACTGGTTCTAAGTCCGTTGTGTTGTGTCCACTCGCCTGGAGCGAAGGAGCAAAGCGAACGAGAGGAAGACCAGCCTGAAAGCAGCAAAGGAGCCAGGTGAAAGCAGCAGAGAATTCACCTGACTGAAACATACTGCCCACCTGAAAGCAACAGCACCCAACAGCACCAGAACACCCACCTGAGAGCAACACAACACCCACCAGATAGGAACATAAGGCCCACCTGATAGCAACAGAAGAACCACCTGAAAGCAGCCAAACACCCACCTGACAGCAACACCTGCACGAGGCACCACTCTTGAGAGAAGGCGGTCCGTGCCGCCATAGATGTCATCCCCCGCCACTATCGCGGACCCTACAGGGAGGGGACGCACGGGGCAGGGAGGGGACGCATGGGGCAGGGAGGGGACGCATGGGGCAGGGAGGGGACGCATGGGGCAGGGAGGGGACGCATGGGGCAGGGAGGGGACGCATGGGGCAGGGAGGGGACGCATGGGGCAGGGAGGGGACGCATGGGGCAGGGAGGGAACGCATGGGGCAGGGAGGGGACGCATGGGGCAGGGAGGAGACGCATGGGGCAGGGAGGGGATGCATGGGGCAGGGAGGGGACGCATGGGGCAGGGAGGGGACGCATGGGGCAGGGAGGGGACGCATGGGGCAGGGAGGGGACGCATGGGGCAGGGAGGGGACGCATGGGGCAGGGAGGGGACGCATGGGGCAGGGAGGGAACGCATGGGGCAGGGAGGGGACGCATGGGGCAGGGAGGAGACGCATGGGGCAGGGAGGGGACGCATGGGGCAGGGAGGGGACGCATGGGGCAGGGAGGGGACGCATGGGGCAGGGAGGGGACGCATGGGGCAGGGAGGGGACGCATGGGGCAGGGAGGGGACGCATGGGGCAGGGAGGGGACGCACGGGGCAGGGAGGGGACGCACAGGGCAGGGAGGCGAGGGGAGGTATTGGTGCACTCTTGAGAGAAGGCAGTCCGTGCCGCCATAGATGTCGTCCCCTGCCACTATCACGGACCCTGCAGGCAGGGGACGCATACGGGCCAGGTGGGGGGGGGGGGGGGGGGGGGGGGGAAGGGTTGGGAGGGAGGGAGCGGGGGTTTGGGGTTGGGGGGAGAGGGAGTGGGGGTTTAGGGTTTGGGGGGGGGATTGGGGGTTTAGGGTTTGGGGGGGAGTAAGTGGGGGTTTAGGGTTGGGGGGGAGGGAGTGGGGGAAGAAGAAAGTGAGTGATTGACAGGGTTCCATCACTCAGTCCGTGCCACTCCATGCCACCGTATGTGCACATACGGTGTAGAAGATGGAACCCCGTCAATCACTCACTTTCTTCCTCCCCCACTCCATAGCAGCTAGTCCGTGCCATCGTATGTGCGTCACTTGCCACTATTGAGGAATCTGTAAGGAGAAGAGGGGGCTGGATAGGAGGCGCCAGGGAGGGTGGGGCAGGAGGCGAGTGAAGTGAAGGGGGTGGATGCACTGGTGTGTGTGTCCCTGCCCCCATCAAGTTCATCACTCGCCACAATGGAAGACCTGAAAGGGAAGAGGGAAGTGGCAGGGAAGGGGTGGGCATGAGGGGGTAGGCAGGGAAGGGGTGGGCATGAGGGGGTAGGCAGGGAACGCGTAGGCATGAGGGGGTAGGAAGGGGAGGGGTGGGCATGAGGGGGTAGGCAGGAAAGGAAGCATGCATATGGGCAGGACGGAGGAGGCAGTGTTGCTATGGTATTTTCTCTGGGAAGTTCGACATGAAATGGAGAGAACTTTTGAGTCGACTCAAAAGAACTTCGACACGAAATGTCGAAGAATGGTGCGGGACAGAGGAGGCAATACACATTTTTCATTGGTGGTAATGAATTTCTTCGGTAGGAACAAGTCTCGTCATTAGTAACACCCTCACATGCAGTAACAAATTTCGCCAGTCGTAACGAGATCTCACCGGTGGTAACCAGCCTGTGGCTGCAGCAAGTGCCGCCATCCCGGTGCTGAAGACAAAGGCACGATGCGCCCCCTCCACCTCCGCTAGCAACCTGCAGGCCAGGCCAGGGCAGGGCAGGGGAGGGGAGAGAAACCAGGAGAGAAGAAATTGGTAAGGAAAGGGGAGGTGCAGTTGGGAAGTGCCATGGCAGTGGCAGAATGCGCCCCTTGCACCTCTGCTAGCAGCATGCAGGGCAGAAGCTGGGAGAAGCGGGGAGAAGCTGGGAGAAGCTGGGAGAAGCGGGGAGAAGGGGAGAAGCTGGGAGAAGCTGGGAGAAGCGGGGAGAAGCGGGGAGAAGCAGGGAGAAGCTGGGAGAAGCTGGGAGAAGCTGGGAGAAGCGGGGAGAAGCGGGGAGAAGCTGGGAGAAGCTGGGAGAAGCGGGGAGAAGCGGGGAGAAGCTGGGAGAAGCTGGGAGAAGCGGGGAGAAGCGGGGAGAAGCTGGGAGAAGCTGGGAGAAGCTGGGAGAAGCTGGGAGAAGCGGGGAGAAAGCAGGGAGAAGCTGGGAGAAGCTGGGAGAAGCGGGGAGAAGCGGGGAGAAGCTGGGAGAAGCTGGGAGAAGCTGGGAGAAGCGGGGAGCGGGGAGAAGCGGGGAGAAGCTGGGAGAAGCTGGGAGAAGCTGGGAGAAGCTGGGAGAAGCTGGGAGAAGCTGGGAGAAGCGGGGAGAAGCGGGGAGAAGCTGGGAGAAGCGGGGAAAAGAGAAGCGGGGAGAAGCTGGGAGAAGCGGGGAGAAGCTGGGAGAAGCGGGGAGAAGCTGGGAGAAGCTGGGAGAAGCGGGGAGAAGCGGGGAGAAGCTGGGAGAAGCTGGGAGAAGCTGGGAGAAGCGGGGAGAAGCGGGGAGAGAAGCTGGGAGAAGCTGGGAGAAGCGGGGAGAAGCTGGGAGAAGCTGGGAGAAGCTGGGAGAAGCTGGGAGAAGCTGGGAGAAGCTGGGAGAAGCGGGAGAAGCGGGGAGAAGCGGGGAGAAGCTGGGAGAAGCTGGGAGAAGCGGGGAGAAGCGGGGAGAAGCTGGGAGAAGCTGGGAGAAGCGGGGAGAAGCTGGGAGAAGCTGGGAGAAGCGGGGAAAAGAGAAGCGGGGAGATGAGGAAGGCAAGAAGAAAGAGCGGCACAAGGGCAAAGGCATGATGCGGCCCCTCCACCTCTGCTAGCAGCCTGCAGGAGGTGAGAAACAGGGAGAAAAAAACGGTACAGAGGGGTTGGGAAGTAAGAGGCAGGCAAAGGCACGATGTGCCCCTCTGCTTCTGCTAGCAACCTGCAGTGCAGGGGAGAAAAACGCGAGGAGAGCGGGAAGTGGAAAGGAAGAAAGAGCAGTTGACGTTAATTCTTTACGAAAAGCCAAGGCATGGTGCGCCCTCTCCTCTCCTCCTCTGCTAGCAGCCTGCAGGGGAGAAACATGGGGAGGGACAGTTAGGTGGAAAGTTTTTATTGGAAAGACAGGGAAGAAGTAAGAAGAAATTTCTCGGAACAACGTGGAGAGGTGTTTGTTTGTTGGTAGCCCCACTCTCCTACACAACCATCTCTTCGATTCTCACTCTCTTCATACTCACTTCACGTTCTATTCCCACTCTCTCCTCAAGAGCATCCGTTGCAGGGTTACCATGGGTTTCGGATCTAACGATGGGTAGTTACATCACATCCATCATTTTTATTTGAGAATTCTCAAAAGTGACCCCGGGTTTCAGATCTCACGCAGGGGTGGTCATATCCATTGTTCTCCGTTGCCGTCGCAGGAACCTGTCACCACGAGAATAAGAAGGAAGCTACTCTCCCTCCAACACCACTTCCTTTCTCTGAACACCCGCTTCACATTCACTTCAAACTCACTTCACTCACTATCAGGTCACATTCACTTCACACGCGCTCCACCTCACTTCTCGAGCGCATCTCTTGTAGGGTTACCACTGCGAGTGTAGTCGTACGCATTGTTCTCCATCGCAGAGACCTGTTGCATTGCAAGCAGGGAGAGGGAAGATCCGTATGAAATGAAGTTAGGTGAATAAATACAGTACGGTATGAACATGAATGATTTTTAAGGCGCCTCAAAAGTCAATGCAATGCGAGCAGGGAATGGGGAGAATCAAGTTTGGTGAAGTTTAGTAAATACTTTCATAACGATTATGAATGGAAACGGATCCAGTGCTGGCAGCAGCGTGATGAGTCACGCACAATTATGAATGAAAACCGCTGTCGTTTCCCGCATTGCAGTCGCAACGCGCAAAGTCACAATCCACAGGCAGTGCCAGGGGATGCGGCCATGAACCTGTAGCTTTGCATTTCTTGAAGACCATAATTGCAAATCCCTTGACACTGTCCCATAATCAATCAGCAATGCCTATTGGGGTGAACTGTGTCGATTGAACAATGAGTGGCGGTCCCCGTTCCCCCATCCCCTCTTTCTTCCTCTTCCCCACCTCGCTCAACCCCGCACTTAACATGTCGAAATGTCGCCGTTTGGTAAATGGGCGTGCTGACGGCCCCGTACGGGTCGAATTCCGCGCCCTTATAGTGAAGGATCTGCGTCGCGAGGCTCTGTGAACCGTCCGATCCTGATCGCTCCTCCGCTTGACCCTTGCCTGCTTCGCTGGCCCCGCTGCCGTCGATGGTACTTCTCGCCGCCATGAACCATGGAGCACGCCGAGAATGGCGTGAGACTACAAATGGCGAGAAGATGTGCCTAGTAGGAACCACCGAACCGCATTGGAAAGGTTTAACGGAGGAACGGAATAGCGAGATTGAACAATGATCATGGGACGAATTTCACGCAACGGTCGTGCTCGAATCGCATGGGAAGCAAGCGACCGTCCGTGGGTATGAGAGCAAGGCGGCTCGGTTTAGAAAACTCTTACTGTCGACAAGTTGGCCGGGAAAGAACAGGCGAAGAACGAGATTCCGCGAGCATCAGAAATGCTGCTGGAGAGCGTAGTGGGTTCTCAGGATGGGTCCAACCCGTCACAGCTCAACTTGTTTTGTTATGAGTTGTACTATCAGAGTGCGCGGAAGAATACTAAAAAGCGGAAGTGATTACAGAATGACGAGAAAATGAAAAGAGCGAGCAAAACAGTTAAAATAAGGGAATGTGTGTGTTTTCACTTTTAAATCAATCTTGTCATTTACATTCACTATGCACAAGGTTCCTGCCACAGAGACTTCCGCTACCAAATCTCTAAGGCAGACCTATCCTATCCAAGATCCTCGCTCTAACATGGTAGGGTATGAGAGCCAGTTTGGATTATAGGAACCGCAAAAATCTTTCATCAAAACAACTTCACTGTTAATTATCCTTACAATTAGGGCAAGCATCATGCCAAGAGCAGACTGCGGAGAAACTGGAGAAAATCCAGTCCATGCACCTTCCAATGTCACCTTAGCAGCAGGCCTTCAGATTCGTTTTGGGCGACCCTTAGTTTTCAGGGTCCTAGGTATAGTCAACCCTGATGCTCAGGATAATTTTTTCGTTTCCCTGACAAATGCAGGGTAAAAAAATTGTAAGTCTGTTTGGTCAGGGTATTTAATACAATATACATATATAAATATGCCAAACCATAAGGTAGGTACCAGTTGTTAGCTCAGTTGGTTCGATTCCGAGTTTGATGTAGAAGGTTGCCGATTGAAGTCTCAGTATCGGGAGGATTTTGCTAAAGTGTTTTGTCTCGCTACGGTCTGTTCGGATCAGTGTAACTGGGCTTGTACACTGTACAGTAAAAGAAATATGTTCACTACGCTGTTTTTCAAAGGGTATTAAAAATCTTACACTTTCTGGCCTAGGGTAAAAAATCCACTACCCTGCCTGTGAAAGGGTAACTGAAAAAAAGCGGCCGCCAGTCAGTGCAAAAAGGGTATTTTACCCTGATAACGAGAGGCCCTCAGATTCGTTTTCAAGCTGTCTGATTCATCAGACTTAGTGCACATTTTTAGTCTGATCAATCAGACTTGATACAAAAAAAAAGTTTGAAATTTCAGAGTTCAAACATACAAAAGTCTGATAGAGCAAAGTTCACATAGTAGTGAAGCTTACCGATCAGCCTAAAACGAGGCGATACAACCGCGCAGCAGCAGTGCTGTCACTGTTTCAGCGTGACTGACAGGACGAAACGATCCTTCCGGCGCTAATTGCGGCTGTCTGTGCAGAGTTCGCGTAGGTACAATCGGAGCAGAGAGCCCAAACAGGATCAGGAATAAGAGTACACTCCGAGGAAAAGTCTGAAATTTCAGACAAGGCCTATACTTTTTTTCTGATTATTCAGAGATTGCTGCCAAAAAAACTCTGAACTTTCAGAGTCCACTTAAAAAAAAGGCTGAATATCAGACTTTTTTAGGCAAATCAGAGAAATTTCTCTGACTTCTGGGGGCCTGCCTGATAACGAGAGGCCTGCTTAGGAGTGACATCAGTGGGTCCAGCGTTAATCGAGCAGCTAATTACCCGCATCAACGCTCTGGAGAACCTGTTGAGATAGCTAGGCAAGGTGAGTTGACTATCGAGAGAAATTTTACAAGTAGGAAAACCCTAAGGGGTTATCCCCTATAACATCTACCCCACTACAGCCTACCAATATGTATCACACATATATATCATTTGACACACCCCCATAGGCAAAGTGGGGGAGAGCAACGGGTCACAAGACCAGTCAAGAGAAACAAAACAAGCTCAGGGTGGATCACAAC